GCAACAAGGGACTTTTTTCCAAATATTTGCTTCTTTGTGAGCGTTTGTAATAATAATGATTTCATGTGGTTCCAGCTTAAAAGGTTTATGGGTGAGTAGGATGCTTAGACCAAGTTATCATGAGGCGGTTAATCGAACCAGATTGAGACGGGCTTCTCAAAATTTGATTGTGAATTTTATAAAGAACGATAGACTGACTGTTAATAACAATTTGACAAATAAAGCATATTGTTTCTGTAAACAAAGTTCGAAATTATAAAGTTAAGAAAGTCAATTAATGTAAATATAGACAAGACAATTTAGATACGACAGCATTTGACTGATAATAAATATTATATTCTAAAATGGTATATGGTATAGATAAAGACATAGATGGCTCGACCCTGATGCTTCTACACCATTTCGAGATATGTTACCATCGACCGTATTCTGATTTTAAACATAACAAAATACATTAAGATACATGCCAATAATAACACCAACCAGCACTAAATACTTTTAAAAGTTTGATACTACACATTACTAATTTTTTTCACAAGCATTTGCTGATAAGTATCATTAACATATTGATAATTAAAACAAGTAAAGTTCCCTTATGTAGAGATAGTGTGATCAGCACTATGCCCAGCCGCCTTTACTTTCCCTAACCTGAGTTTGGTACCCATTACCGTCGGGTGGACTCAGGGACGGTCTGCTCACTTGAACGCGGATTCAAACTCGAGACTTATGGGTTAGCACTCCAGCTCACTACCGCTAGACCACTCTGTCCTAATTTTGATGAAATAATATTATTGAAATCTACTTGTTATATTTTAGAAGACAAATTCAAAAGGTCCAATTACAGTAAAAAACATTATTAAATACTTTGAGTTCAAAACTTATTATATATATATATATATATATATATATATATATATATATATATATATATATATATATATATATATAATTCTCTTCTGGGAGACTCTAGAAAACAAGGTGTAACCGCGCTCCCTACCATCCGCATCCCTACATGGTCTGGTGAGCTTTGGTTCACGTTAAATGTTTACAAGCAGAGTTTAGTGACGACTACTAGGGGCAGATAATTTAGTTTGAAACGATTTTAAACGTAGGGGGGAGTAACTAAGTGGAGTTTACTGTAACGGAGGGGGGGGGGGGTATCGTCCTTAACGAGCTACTTATAGTGTTTTAAAGAAATATTTTCAGTGGCAGCGTTGGTACTATCGAATTCACAAATTATGAATTACTGAAAAGTAGAAAAAACAATAACTAAATAGCGGCGTATGATATGCCGCGGGTCGGCTCGTTGCAATAATTTGTCCTAGCTAAGAATAAATGCAGGCTGAACTTTGACACTAAAAGATGTCAAATTACTCAGTTCTGGTTGCATAGAAAAGTGTCATTTTATTTTTTTTAAAAATTAGTTGAAACTGTTTTCTTGATTATATCTCTTATCCCCCATAACTGTACTTATCAATTTGATATTTCTGCTTTAAACAAAAACACATATTAAAGAAGTTCAATCCCAGGACCCATTAAATCTACACATTAAGAAAACATAAAATTGTGTGCAATGGAAATACAACAAGAAATATATACTTGTTACTAATGGCCATTTTGAAACAGCTCCTAAAACCAAAACTACCAAAAATATCCTCGATATATCTCAGCGACCATCCATAAATGACGTCAATTTTTTTTGACGATTTTTACCTTCCCCCATCCCCTTCGTCACACATTGTCACAAAAAGCCAGACCTTACCCTAAAATGACGTCACACAACCCCCTAAAAATTGCAGTTGAATTTTTCTTAAAATGTTTTAAAATATTTTTTTTCCAAAATCTTGTCTGAACTCTGTCAACATAGTGTATTTTAATCAATTCCTATAACAATTTATTTTTAAAAAGTTCTCTAAAACGCGAAATAACGACTAAAATTCGTTTTCCAATATTGATTTTTTATGATGCAATAGTGTAATGTCACACCATCTGAACCCCCCCCCCCCCCCGCACCAATCACACACCGTTACAAAATTACAGACCCCGTTCCCCCTACGAGTGTGACGTCATTTATGGACGACCCCTCAGCTATATGATTCACGAGATAATTACGACAAATTATCAAACATTCTGTTAAATACATACGAGTAGAGACTAAAATTTATGCTGGCCAACACACAGTTACCAATGCTTAATTAATCAATGGTGTTTGTTAAACTAAGTGTGTGCATTGATTAAAGGTTCATACTCGCTGAATTCATTTTATTCTAAGAAGTGTGGGTTTTTGTGTCGTTAGTTGAAACGTGGCTGGATGGTATAATGGCATCAATGGTATTTACTATCTAAAGCGATATTCGTTTCCTAGATCTTAGTTTCACTTTAGAATTCCTGTATTTGGAAAACTTTGTTAAGTATGAGTTATCACTAATTATAACAGTAACAGTTCTTCACCCTAGCTGTTAAATAAGATGTTGAGAAATGTTTTTTTTTAAATTTCTATGCGTGAAACGTTGATACAGGGGTGGACTAATGTCAGTAAATCGATTACAAATATTGTTACATAACTATACAATTCAATATATCATATTGTTCATGTTTCCATCCAAAGATTTAGACTTGTTTTTCTTAACATTGCAACTTCAATAAATCCAAATAAGAGACATGTCTTTTTCCATGATTATAACTTTAGCTAATGACGTGCATGATGTATGTATTATGTAAAACAAAATAAATTTTTCATAAAAATCCATCAATACGCTTACCTACAGAAACATCACAGCTGTATGTCTTTTTATAATTACTGTTAGAGCAAAGCTGAAATAAAAAGATATAGGTTCCCGATTGTTTTGGTTGATAAGAAGCGCATGTATTCCCAGAAGCTAAGGTTGTTCCATTGAAAAATATTGTAGATGTGCATGAAATTCCAGTTGGACAACATGATGTTACATTGTCATTACTTCCCTCTGTTACTTTAAAATTACAGGAGGTGAGGTCTAGTGGCAAGGAGTTTAGTTTTAAGCTGTAAAAATTGTCATCTTTATCTGAAAACATTACAATATTTTAAAATGTAACTGTAATTTAATGTTCCTTTATATTTCAAAAAAACGATAATATTGTAGAGATAATGTAATGATAATGTAACGATAATGTAACGATAATGTAACGATAATGTAACGATAATGTAACGATAATGTAATGATAATGTAATGATAATGTAATAATAATGTAATGATAATGTAATGATAATGTAATGATAATGTAAATATAATGTAACGATAATGTAACGATAATGTAACGATAATGTAACGATAATGTAACGATAATGTAACGATAGTGTAACGATAATGTAACGATAATGTAACAATGATGTAACGATAATGAAACGATAATGAAACGATAATGTAACGATAATGTAACATAATGTAACGATAATGTAATGATAATGTAATGATAATGTAATGATAATGTAAATATAATGTAACGATAATGTAACGATAATGTAACCATAATGTAACGATAATGTAACGATAATGTAACGATAATGTAACGATAATGTAATGAAAATGTAATGATACTGTAATGATAATGTAATGATAATGTAATGATGATGTAATGATAATGTAATGATGATGTAATGATGATGTAATGATAATGTGATCAAAGTAATTGGTAAGAATGTTAACTGAAAGCTTACTAAATACACGTTGAAACCTCATTTCATCCGAAGAAACTTTAAGACGACCATCCTTATTAGACCATGAAAATTGACCTAAAACGTTACTGTATGTTACTGTAGCTGTGAAGTTTATTTTCAATTTGAATTCGTCGCCTGATTTTAAAGCACAAGAGCAGGTTGGTAGTGAGGAGGCACAGTTGTTCAAATACATGTTGCACTTCTGAAAACGATTAATGGAGATCAACTTAATGTAAACACAGTGTCATATTTACAATAATGAATTTTAACCTTTTTCAAATGTATTCTTATGTATGATACACTACATAGCGATACACCATTTTGACATTTTAAAAAAGTCTGAAATGATAAATCCACTTTGGGGACTTTTGTTTAAGGACGTTCCATAGTGTAATACACAATTTCGAATGGACAATATAACACTTCAAGACACACAGTCCACTCCACAAACCTTAATATAAATTCTATTGTTATTTCAATGGCGTTGTGTAGCGAGAATAACTTGAACCTGTTACACATTGTATAATATTTATTAGAAAAAAATGAAACGTGTAACAATTTAGAAAATTCATCAGACAATGCGAAAATTGGTAAAAAAATACACCTATTTTGCTTGAAAATTAAAATTAAATTATTAACACACACACACACACACACACATATATATATATATATATATATATATATATATATATATATATATATATATATATATATATATATATATATATATATATATATATATATATATATATAGCAACAATCAAGAGCTTTGTGAAATCGTTCAACGATACCGCAGGCACCCCACTACATAACTGTAACATTAAGTAATAGAAGAGATATTGTGATGGGATGGTATATTGTACTAAATCTATCCCTAAGAACCGGTGCTCTATTGTGTAGGCCATCCAAATGCCCTCCCTGCTCTGACCTATACCTGGTGGCTAGGCATTTTTTTTTCGGCAATCATATCCCTTCTTAAGCCGAGGCCACTGAAAAATGCGAGCTGTACTTCATCTGTCCCCTGTGCTTTCAGGTTTGAAATCTTTTACTTCTCAATGTAATATATTTTTTTGAAAGTGAGTGGAAATTGTAAAAGAAATTTTAAAAAAATTTCGGATTATAATTTCAGTTAAAGAAAACGAAGTGGATAAACAGTTTATGATAATACCCCAACGCCAGCAAAGGAGTTTATTAACACAAATGTGAATGCTAGTAGATATTACACCACCTACTAAAGGAAAAATATATAGAAATCAAGTATTAAAAATATGCTTAATACCTCCACGCTGATTCAAGAACTTACAGCAGAATAACTCCCACCATCTGGCTTGATTTCAAACGTCAATATCCTAGGCCATTCATTAGCATCTGTACCATTTAATAAAGCACTCCCAGTGAATATAAACCTATCTTCGTTTGCAATCAATCCTTCAGTACATTTGGAGACCGTTGAGTAGCTTCCTGCAGTAACCACTTGGCAGGAAACAGCTGAGTGGAAAAATAAAACGAATATTTATATAAATAAAAATGTCTACTCTATAATAGCCCATTTTCATTGTTATATAGACCTGTTGTATTTTTCGTTATGTTTTATCGTTCTTTATGTTTTAGGTTATGGGAAGATATCCGACGCAATATTTGCATGGTATGGAAAGCAACATGTAATAAACGTAAAGAAATAATGTGTTATTAAAAAAAATCATCGACTACAGGAAAATAAATGATTGAAAATTATATTTTGGAAAGTACTTTTTGTGGGTAGAATATTATTTTTTCAAATGGAAATATACATGTTTTACTAATCGTAGGATGTGAGATCAATGATACAATAATGTGGTTATAATGTTAAAGGATTCAGTATATTTTCCAAATATTTTTTTCTGGATACATTACCTGTAAAATTTAAAATGATCAGCATCAGCCATTGCCATAACTTCTCAGGCCCAAAGACTTTAAATGATAAATGCATACTAAATAGCTCACTTACAAAAAAGAAAAAAAAGTCAATGTTTTATGTTTTGTATAGTAATTTTAAAAAAAAGTTTGTTTTCAAATTAAACATTAACAAGCTTTAAACAAGTTTATATAGACACATTACATTTAATATTTAAGGCACTGGATTTTCATCTACTAGCAATTAAAACATTTCCGATTTCTTAAGTAATTTATCGAGAACAGCTATTAAATTTCTTCCTTATTAAAATAATTAGTAGCCCTAATTGATATACGAATATTGTTGATATGTTACTAACTTTAATAATGTTTTTACATTTGAATATGTTTGCAATTGTTCACGTTTTATCTAACATTTAAAGATTTCAACGAATCTTATTTAAAAATCATACAACCATAAACAAGCTTAGTAGCAATAGATGATGTTGAAAGGAAACGCTTACAAAGATAATGTATGCTGAAATATCGCGTAAATATAAGACACAAGCAGAGGTTGTTAAATTGGAAAATACAATCACGGCATGATAGCTTTTAGTTCTATGGTATAGTGCGGCATAGGACAAATGATCTCACGGATAAAAGATACCAGGACCAAATATATCATGATAAATGATATTATAGACAAATGATCTCAGACAAAATATCTCAGACAAAATATCTCACAGCAAAAATTTAAAGGTATGTACGATCATTTTAGTTGCTTTGAACTTTTTTTTATTGACTGTCAATATGATTTTGTTTAATTTTTAGGCATAATAATTGTGCATAAAATGTATTTGTTTAACTTAACAAAGCATCAAAAGATGTATCAAACTTAATCTTTGTATTAGCATTTGATTTGAAAAAGTAGAAATTATAAAAACTTACTCCTTTATTCTGAAAGGTGTAATAAAAGATAATGTATAAAACAAATAAAGTAACGGTAGTATACAACATTAACTATTGTTTCTATTGCATCATCAACACAAACATAAAATTTACGTTTCTATGCTGGCAGATATATCGTTATGATCACACCTCTCCAATACTGTGTGATCATGTATTGAGTTAACTCAATAACTTCACATTTTCAAATCTCTTTGCTTGCTGCTCCACTTATGGCTTTGATAAACATAAATTCAACTGAAATTCATGTCCTAAAACCTTTCTGCTAGGTAACTAATGAGGCCATAGCTGAGTAATCACTACTAATACTGCTTTGTTTGCATGCACACTACGACAAACTTCGCTCCGCGATGACCACTGTCGTTTAAATAAGCATTAGTCACCTGATCACTAAGGTGTGACCGACGAATTACTATTGTCTTTAGTTGCTAGTTGTATTGTCCATTGAGGGCGGTTGTCTTTCCGTTAAGGCATGTCTCTGCCATCAAAGCGGGCGGCCACCTTGATACGAAGGTGTGTTTTTATTCTTATTTCATTCTCTGTTGTCTATTTTTGTCCACCTGACATGGTAGGATTGTCTCAGGTTTGCCAAGCCCAACAACGCTGTCCATCGAAATAAAATTCTTAAATCTTCGCATACTATATTAGTAATCTTAATTTTAAAATTTTTAGTGCAATATGACAAATTTATACGGCAAACATTTCTCACAATTATTAAATAGGCTCATAAACAATATTAAACATAGTAAATATGATAGTTATATAAAAATGTTCAGATCAACTAAAACCATTCAATAAACTAATACAATTTTGCTGTGAGATATTTTGTCTGAGATCATTTGTCTATGGTATCATTCGTCCTGATATATTTTGTCCTGGTATCTTTTGTCCTTGAGATCATTTATCCTTGAGATCATTTGTCCTGTCACCTTTATATATATATATATATATATATATATATATATATATATATATATATATATATATATATATATTATAAGATCAAATCATATCCATATTTTGATTTTAAAATTCAAGAATATCTACAAATGATGACATATGCCTAGATTAGGTGTTAAGATCATAAAATGTATATTCTCTTTTGTTTCGATAAGCTTAATATTGTGATTTATAAGGCATACTATCCAAACTACTAAAGATTGTAAATAGCGTATACATTTTTCTCTCTATGTTATAGCGTAAATAGACATATAGTTACCTTATTTATTACGGCAACACTATAAGAACAGAAAATCTTGAGTCAACACTGGTAAGCTGTATTCATCTTACTGCGTGTGTAACTTAATATAGCCTACCAAGTATTAAGTTGATATATAAACTATATTCTTTATGAAGACTTATTAGTATTAATGAATACTGTAGATCACCAGTATCAAGGTTCAGAAAACATATATTTAAATAGCAAAATAAAAACATGATCGTATTTTACAACTTAGCATGGCACCTTGCCAACTGACACACCTATTTTTAGCACAGGGTAAACAGAAACGAACTTGTTACTGCGTAGCAAACCTTCTTTTAGTTAGCTTAGTATAAGCCAAACATCTTCATTGAATGCAAGTGACCTCCTTCAGCATTTAACATTGAATAAGAAGTTCTGATCAGTGACGTAGATCTGTATGTATTAATGTACCGGGTGGCGGGAGGGGGGGGGGGGTTAGACCTACATAAACACTAAATGTAACACCAAATCTTGATCAATAAACATAGTTGGTTGTAGCTTAGCTTACGACAGGATCTTTCCATTGCCCTAACAGGTTTATTTTTACTGCTATTAAACTATTAATTTTCTAGCTTAGTACAGGCCTAAAGAAAAAATAGTCCTTTGCAGGGACTTCTTCTAGGTTATTTTCATTTCAATTATTGATTTTTTATATGTTAGCGGTCTAGAAGTTACTGAACACTGCTTTTATTGTGTAAACAGCTACAATTAGTTCATAATAATAGATATATAATTAAAGAAGTGTGTAGTAATAAAAAAAAATAGTCTTTTCTCTCAAGATCGCTTAAATCAATATATTCGTTGTTGCTTACTACTAAAATAATAACTAATAATGTATGTCATTATGTGACTAGGCTATTTATACACTTTTGTTTTATAAGATTATATTTATTTTACAATTCATGTTTGTTTATTTGTTTGCTTGCTTATTTATTGGTTTGTGGCAAATTCTTAAATCAATTCTGGCCCACTTCTAATGCCGTGATGTTTAACCTTCCCAATTCATTCTTCTCATAGGTTATGCCCCGCCACTCTAATATTAAGTTACCACTTTATTCATAATTAATATAAACAATGCCTCCCTCCTATGTAGTAAATTCACCACCCACCAACTAAAAATATATAATTTACACAGAAATTACATACTTTAACCAGTGTCATCCGCCTCTCTAAAGTTTCAAATCCCCCCCCCCCTGGTAGTTTCAAGTGCGCCCCCCCCACCCCTCATCGTAGAGAACAGGCCGTAAGAAACCCTGCATTAATACTATGTCACAAGGTATAACGCGTTTTTTATAATAAAAAAATATAAATATCAATCACATTCTTTTATAAATGCTATTATGTCATTTTGAAGTCTAAGCATATACAAACTATTTCAATTAGACTAGGCTGTAATATGGGACGAGTGGCCTAAGAGTGCTAGGCTGCGAACACGAAAGACCCTTAGTTCAAATCCGGGTTCATGTCAATATAACGTCCCTGAGTCAACTCAGCTCTCATGTTTATCTAACACAACTTAGAAGAATAAAGGCGCCTAAGCAAAGTGATGAGCACAACTTCCTTTCATACGCCGAGGTAAAGGAACAAATCAACTCTACTACAAATAGATTGCTTGATCTATAGAGGATTCTTTACGTTTTCTTTTATGCCTTCTCTGTTACTTTCACTACTTTTATTTTCTTTAATCAGTCACAGCGGTGTAGTTCCTTCATTAACTCTTTTATTCACACCATGTTGCTTTGTAAGTCAATGGTATAAAATCAATTCCCGGTTTTATTTTAGTGGGCCAAGTTTAGCTTTGGATCTAATACATGTGTAGTTAAAGGTATGTGTGTACAACGTCGCATATGTTAAACAGTCGAGTCCTAATTCACTTGCTCTCTTTAAACATGTGGCGGAATGAAGTGTGTAGGGAATAACGAATTATAAGAAAGCACACGAAAGTTTTGAACCGAGTTAAACTGGTATTCAAGAATCGTTATCATCGGGTGAAACCAAGTACCTTGAATATTAAATGCAATGTGTCTATATAAAAAAATGTAATGGATATTAAAATTTATCATTTTTTGTGACTAGTTTTATTTTAATTCAGCAGTGTTAAAATGATTCAACCAAGGATCACATTTACGATTATGGTAATCTGTTTCAAGTTAACAGGTAAGTAATATTTTTTAATTATGTGTTTAGATTTAATTTTTGTCAAAGAAATACACGTTTGTAATACTAACATAAAAACATTAAGCTAGACATACAATTATGTGCGTGTCAAACTAGGATTCAGGTTGCGTTTAGACCCTAAAAATGTCTATATAATCGAGTGTATTTGCCACCCTTAATAGCGCACTTGGTACTTTACTGTGTGTGAAATGACTCATGGGATATGTTGACATATTGCGGGTCAGAGTTCAAACCTTCACCTCTTTCCATTGACAACTTGGTAGGCTATATTAAGTTACACGTAGACATTTAGTGCGGACACTATAAACAAGGGGATCAGCATTCCTTGCAGTTTTTACGAAAACAGTGGGAATCATACATTGTTCTGTTATTAAAATTATGATTGTTTTGCTTTCATCCTATAGTAGAAAACATGAACTTATTAATTTGATTTTATGCTGAGATCCCATCCCCTATTGCCCTTACTATGTGTCTATTGAATAATTGTATTAACATTTATTTCTATTCTACTTAACTATTTTTCTCGTTTAAAGTTAACATATTTTTTTCGAAAAGTTCAAGATAATTTATATTTGAACGTATTTATTAGCTTCAGTGGCGTAGCGAGGTCGGGTGTCACCCGGTGCGGCACTTAATGGTGTCACACCCCCCCCCCCAGAGGCGTTGCGACCCTTCCCGGGAACAAACTTTCAAGTTTTCAATTTGCAACC